TTTTTTTTTTTTTTTTTTTTTTTTAGATTAAACAGCACCAAACTACTACTTTTTATGCAAAAAGTTGCATTTGGAATACCAGCAGGAGCTCGGCTAGACCTGCTGTCTTGCGTGGAGGCAAATAACCTCCAAAACCAGCAGCTCCCTGGGGTCCCAATGAGTTCCTGCATGGCCTATGGAGCCTGCCAACTAAAACAAGGTGCGATGCTGGCTGGGCACCACTTCCAAAAACCTGGTGGGAACCAGGAGCCGCTGCCATCCCCAGAGCAGCAGGCTGGGCTACCTTGCCTCCTCTCGAGCAATGGCTTGCAGCTCCCACCAAGTTCAGGCAAGATGTGGATTTGTCCCTCTAGTACATTCACCTGCCTAGCCCGTCCGCCCGGGTCTGACTGACCTGCGCAGTCAGCTAGATATGACCTCATGTGTGATGTCACTACAGTCCCCTGAGCCCCCTGGTAAACCCATGCCCTCCAGGGCAGGCACCAACATGGCACATTGCCTTTGACTACACCTGCTGCGTGGAAACACTTGGTTGTTAAAGGTCATGGAAAATGGTTGGAGATACAAATATTTAAAATAAAATGCAGATAACTGAATGGCATCTCTTTCTTTTAATTGACAATGACTTGGGCAAATGCTCTCTTTTAATGTGCATGGACTCAAGCACCTTAGCAAGTAGAAGCTGGGGGGTGCTGCAAGTTTCCACGGGGTCCAGCCCGGGTTGCTGCAAAAGACACTGCGGCTGCGCTGTATTTCTTCTCAGGAAGGCAACATGCCTCCCCTTTGCATAGGGGAAGATTGACTAGTTCTTGTGTAGAAAGACTTTGCCCTGCCTATTTTTTTGGCAGAATCTATTAATAATCATTCTTTCCAGTGTCTCTTCCTCACTCGCTAGCTAAGTACTTGCCATGTGCAGCTGTAAAAAGTTGTTTCCAAAGAGAAAAAAATTGGAGCAAAGACTTCTGTAATCGGAGACATGGAGGAAAGCAGAAGGGCGTTTTCACTTTGTTGTCTTTGGTTGCTTTTGGTTTGATTTGTGCCATGCTTTAAACTAGTCCCCTTTACAGGACTTTGGGCCCCCTTGCTTGTCCTCATCTGTGTCCTCCCAGTGCCAGCTCTAGCGGCACCGGCTGGCCCCGTGCCCCTCCTGGTGCCAGATGACGATCAAGGCTGTCACAAGTCAGTAAGAGAGCCCTGTGCTGGGTCAGCAGTGCCGTGTCAGTACACCAGGCTAGGAAGACATAAGCCTCTTCTATAAACCGAAATCTGTAGGATTTCAATGCCTAAGTTGGAAAATTTCTATTTGGATACCAAAGTTAATGATAGCAGTTATAGTTTTTCAGGACTTTTTTATTGAAAAGCTTTTCTAATTAAAACCATCAGTTTATCAAAACTTTTTTTTTTCCTGAGATTGAAGGTGAATTTGGTACAAAATTTAAATTTCAGAAATTAGAAAGTTTTAAAATAATATTTTAAAATAAATTTAAAGTACCTCAAGCAAATGTAGGCTCTGCTGAAATTGGCACTCCTAAGAACAAAAAAGTAAAATTTCAGTTTTGTTAAATTGAAATTATTTTTTTTTTAATCTTGATTGAAATAGAAATCTCTTCATGTCTCAAACTTTGACAGGACATAAAATTAGTTTCCTCACTTCTCTTTGT